AAAGAAATAAAGTGAAAATGAAAAAAATAAAAGAAAGAAAACTATATTAAATGAAAAGAAAATAAAGGAAAGAAAATAAAAATGAAATTGAAATGAAAATGAAAATGAAAATAAAATAAAATGAAAAGTAAATCAATAAAACCTAAAAAAAGGAAAAGCAACTAAAATAACGAAATAGAACAAATAAAGGAGAAAATACTAGAAAAACCTTCAAAATGCACAAAATCCATAAAATAAGAGAGGAAAGGTAAAAACCAAGAGCAAAAGCATAAACTAAGCATTTATTAAGCATGAAAGCTATGAAAAGAAGGTATAAACAACCTAAATGCTCAACAAATGGGTGCCATTTTCCCATTTATGACACCCATCAAATACCCCCAAGCTCACCTTTTGCTCGTCCTCGAGCAAAACAAAACCAAGGGAGAAATGATGATGAGCTTATTCAAACAAAAAAAAAAGAAGAGAAGAGACAAGAACATACACTAACTCACTTTCGTAGGAATTACAGTCAATTTTAGAAATAAAGACAAGTCATTTAAACCCCTAGATCGCCCTAGAGGACGAGTGATGCTCTCGTAAAGGTTTCCTAAGAGATTAACCTATAACTCTCATAATAATACAAACAAGGCAAAGCACGAAAAAGAAACCAAAATACAAGAAAAGGCAAACAAATGTTTATGAAAGGACTTTTCCAAATGTACAAGTATAAATGAATGCAAATCTTTCTAAACAAGTAAGGGAGTGCATGTTCTAAGATATTTAAGGTTGATTGAAACATAGGATATGCTAAGCATAGAGAATTAAAGAAACGCAATTCACTTTCACCTCAAAACATTTTAGCACATTCTCCCAATTAGCTTCAAATCTATTTTTTAGTGAGTGTCTCTATAGTTCCTCTAAGGAACCGGAAAAACAAATAGATTTGAGGTTTCTCGATATCTTGACTTTGCATCCCCTTTCCTTAAGCTTTAACTCGTAATGCCCTCCCTTAATATGTGACTCAACCTTTAGGCCGAAAGGTCTTTCCCAATGGTTGTAACGTAAGGGCAATAGGGTGAGGGTAGGCTTTGAATTTAAAAATTTGGTGGTATCCCTAATAGTGAAGCAAAGAACGGGACCTTTCTTAGAACCACAATCAAGTAGTTACCAAACAAAAATAAATTAACACCCCCAATCTTATTTAAAGCTATACTCACAAACATATATACAAAAAGCGTAAACGCTTCTCCCCCAAGCTTAAAGAAAACATTGTCCTTAATGCTTGAAAATGGGAAAAGAATCACATCAAATATTTTTGAATTTTCTCATTTTCACCTTTTTTTTATTTTTTTTTCTTTTAATGCATATATTCAAAGCAATTGTCCTCGCCTCTTTTAACTTTGGACGTCTTTTACAACTTTGCATTTATTATGTCCTTGCCTTTTTTAACTTTGGATGGCTTTTTCTATCATACATTTTCCATTATTCACAAAATATACATAAGACAAGCTTGCTTACAAAAGGAACCAATATCCATACTTATATACCACAATCTTCAATAGCATGACCATTTGCTTCACAAAAACCAAAAATGGAACAAAATGAAACAAAAGGCTCAAAATTCTAAGGATGTGGCTTGAAAAGAAGGGAAAAGGCTCAAATGGTTAGCAAGAAGGCAAATGTAAACCTAATGAACTAAAAATAAAGAAGCTTATCCTAGAAAAAGAAAAATTACCACCCCAAAAAGTTGCCTTTGTCCTTCCTAGTTGGTTCGGTCTCGTGTTTGAGAATTATGAGTTAAGATTCAAGATTAGGTCCGCAATAGTCAAGGATCCAAGCCGCTCATGCAAGATATGTAGAAGGCTTGAAAATCATGAAACCTCATAAGGTTGTGACAAAAACTCACTAAAAGCTTCAAATTCACCAAAAGGGAGCAATTGCAAATTTTCAAAAACAAATAGAATCCGGTTTCAAGGTCCCAATATTTCTAAACGACTACCTTAGCATACTCTATCCTAGAATCAACCAAACATACTCTCAAACCGTGCACACCGTTACCATTTAAGAAGAAAAGAATTCAACTATACAAGTCCAAAAGTATTATGTCCAAAGCAAGAACAAAACAAAGACACATTGCAAATTTGCCTTGATAGAAACAAAAATCTTTTTGGAGTTTTTCAAAATATAAGAACATGGAAAAACATATACAAAGGTGCATAGCATATGCATGTGAATCAACATCCCATCAAACATGATAGAATTCCCTCCCCCAAGCTTGAATAAGACAATACACTCAAACATTAATTATAGAAACCATGGGAGGGGAAAACAAGAAGATCAATCCAACAAACCAACATGTATCCAACAAGTCATCATCCACTTGAGAAAGAGCAAGGAAGGATATTACCGTATATTAGGTGGGTGTAAATACCCGCAAATGACCCAATTAAACCTTTTAAAGCTAATTTCCTCAAAAATTGAACCTTACCTTCCATATGATAGCAAAAATAGGAGTTAAACTTTCTTGATTCTTAATTCAAACTAATTCACCAAAGTATATCTTCAAGTCATGTACCTAGAAAAAGGGACACAAACATTTCCATGAGAGAAAATCTATTCTAAAAAGAAAAGAAAATGAAAGCGATAAAACACGGCTTACTTCCCGAGAAAGGCTTGCTTAAGGTCCAGGCTTGACTGCTTTAGTAAAATAGTATTGCAATGAACGCAAGAGCTTGTCAAATGCACTACTAATCATTTCATAAGATCAGATAAACGGTAGGAAAATGACGGGATAAGAAAATGCAACAAGAATGTTGCACGCAAGTGAGAAGGTAGATGCCAAAAGAAAGAAGAAGAAGGATCAAAATGAAGAACAAGAAAATAAGAAGAAGAAGGGGGAATAAAAGAATGGAAAGAAAAAGAAAGAGGCAAATCCTCCTCACTAAAATATTTTTGGATGGAAACATCACCCTTTTCCTCAACAACAGACGAATGAGGGACATTATGATCATCAAAAACAAGGGGGTCCCCAATAAGCTCTTTGAGATAGGAAGGGAGAAAAATAGGGCAAGAAGGGATGTGGTCAAACCTTTGAGAAAAAGGGATATGAGAAATAGACAAAGGGGTAGCTACTCCCTCAACACAAGGTCTCACATCTCTAATGAGAGCATGAAAATCAATCATAGAGTCCTCAAATGAAGATCTCTCACGATCTACATTTCCACTACTACATTTTTGAACAGATGAGACGCTTGAAAAAGGATAATATAACGCTAGTTTCTATTACCATCTCATTAGTGTGGGCTAGTGTGACGCCCTCTTCATGAACATTCTAAGAAGAACAACTAATGTGACGACTATGTAGAGCCGTTTTATTAGCATAGCTTATGCGAGGATTTAGGAAGCTAATGCAACCATATAAAAACTAGGCGCGCAAATTTTTGTTATTCCTTCTACTTTTTTCACCAAATTTTGAAACACCTTCACGTGTAGTGTTCTGCTTTCATTTCAAGGCAAAAAAGAAAAAAAAAAAAAAGAGTAAAATTAGCCCACAAAACAAAAACAAAGGAAAAAGAACAAGTTGTCCTTCTCTCTCCTCAATTCCCCCATCTCCATATTTCCATTCATACTTTCAGACAAAACTCAAAAACCTTAGAGTAGATAATTTCACCCAAAATTGGGTAGTAAAATTAAACAAAAAATTAGAGGAAAATTGCATTGGGACGATTCGACATGAAAAAACTAAGGAAGTAAATGAGATTGGTGTTCATTAGCTCGATCCATTGAAGCGTTGGTGTGTTGCTTGAGGCGGTAGTTTCTTCAGTTAGAGGTGCTCGAAAATCTGCGCGCGAGTGGAGAATTTTAACTGTTCGTTTTGCTTAGAAGTATATTTATGAAGTTTTGTTTTTGACATTGCATAGTTAATAATTATTGAAATTTCTATACTTTCGTGTTTCAATTTCCAAAAGTTGCAGTAGTATTGGTAAAATTAAGCTGTAGTAATCCTTAGTAATGGACAATTGGGTCAAAATGGGAGGTAAATCAGAATGTGTTAATGTATTTTATTGTGGCGTTAAGTGGGTAGTTTATGCGGCTGATTAGGTTTAAATGGGAGGTAAATTAGGAAAGGTATTCCGTTAAATTTCAATGTTTGTATTGAGAGTTTGAAGAAGAGTTATCTGTTTGCATTGTTAGATTTTACTCATTTTAGTAGTTCATTAGTATTGTTAGATTTTAGGGTTTTAATCGAAAGTTTGAAGAAGAGTTATTAGCCTCTCAAATCTCAATCTCTCGTGATATTAGCTTTCAATTCTTTAGTCTTCTAATCCTCATCCCTATTGTTTTGTATTTAGTTTGTATGCTAGCTTTTCTAAGTATTCTTTTAATTGTATTGTAGTACTTGGGTATTTTAACTCCCAACTCACCTTATTACCCTTATCTTAGTCTCAAGGTGGGCTGGAACACAGCGATGTAAACTCAATATTCTTTGTATACTATATAATGACCATTATTTATTGGTTCCAGTACATTTAATGGGTAATTTTTATATTCTCATGCCCTTGTGGTGTATTGGTGCTTATATGTCCTTACACTCTAGAATAATCCCTAAAATCTTTCTGGTGTTTTACTGGATAAAACATGAATCCACAATTCCACATTGATCTTTGTCTACCTTATTTGTGAAGACTCCCAATCTATAACCCTTAATAAAAATGGGAACTTAGTAACAGTAACTTGTGGCGGTATTACATCAAAACCCCTGAAATTAATGGAATTTCGAAATTGCCCTTTATTCTAATACAAATTTTTGTATGTGGCTGGCCACATGGTGCGGCAAGGGTTACTTGTAGGGTGTTACTGGCTTTGTTAGGTGTTACCTGTATTCTGGGTTACTTGTATGGGTGTTACTGGTTTAAGTCAGGGTTACTTATAGGGTGTTACTGGTTACTTGTAGGTGTTACTTGTATTATGGGGTTACTTGTAGGTGTTACTTGTATTATGGGGTTACTTGTATAGGTGTTACTAGTTTTGGTCGGGGTTACTTGTAGAGGGTTACTGGTTTTGTCAGGTTACTTGTAGGTGTTACTTGTATTCTAGGGTTATTTGTATGGGTGTTATTGGTTTTGATCAGGGGTTACTTGTAGGGTATTACTGGTTTGGTATGAGATTTTGGTCTAGAGTTACTTGTAGGAGTTACTCAGAATACAAGTAACACATACAGGTAACCCCACGATACAAGTAACCTCATAATATAAGTAACACCCTACAAGTAACCCATACAAGTAACTCCTGAATACAAGTAACCCTAAAATACAAGTAACCGTGCCGCACCATATGGCTTGCCGCGCTGAAAAACCTTTGTTATTCTAATTGGTTGAAGCTTGAGTGCTTTGACTAATTGACTGCTTTCTCACCGACTTCCTCAGCTCCTTCTCTTTCCTCCTCATCTCAAAGAAAAAAAGCTCAGAATTCTAATTCAAGGATGGCGATGAGAGAGAAACCTAGAGAGAGAAAATATGCCCTCCTTCAACAATGATGGCGATGAGATCAAAACCACCGATCATCCTTGAAAAGCCATGGCGATGGGCTTTGCTTCTTCTCAGTGTTTTAATTTCATCGGTTTTAGTGACGCGGTTGCTAAGGTTCATTTATCTTTCTTGTTCTAATTGGTTCGATACTTTGATGTTCATCTCCTCGATTAGATTTTACCTTTTATATGAAGGTTGTTCTATTTATTTCTGGCTTTTCATATAGTTTCTTTTATTGAATTTGATTTCAAATGGTTTCCTAAAGCAAAGATGTTCGGAGGAATGTTCTATAAGAAACCAAGCAAGGAAGAAGCTCTGCAGCAGCTTCGATCCCACAGATTGATGTTCGGAGCATGGGTTGTTGCTATTCGGGTTACTCCTTATGTTCTTCAGTATTTTTCCAGAAAGAGGAGATTACTTTGGATCTTTGATTCAACCCCACCAAAATTAAGGTATTAGTCTCATAAGTTTTCAAGATATTGACTTTATTTGAATATTAATTTCACTATTTTACGTTATATGGGTGTTTTAGATGTTAAAAATTTAATTTTTGCAAGGAAGAAGATGGACCAAGGTTAGGTGGATTCGAGTTTGAGGTTAAGATACTCAGGTATTATTGGATGTTTGTTCTGTTTTTTTTTTTTTTTTATTTTATTTTATTTTATTTTTATATTATTTAAATCTAGAAAATTCTTCTGTGCAATACCTTCCAGTCTTCCACAGCTAGGATAGAGTGTTCTACTTTTCACATGGTCAGATGGAACAAGTATTTTTTTCTTTTTTCATCCTCTATTATAATATTTTTACGTTTCTTATTCCTATCTTTTCATTTTTATTACACTGTATTTTCAATTTTTTCACTTTTATAATTTGTATTTTTTGAATTATGAAATTATGAGTAATTCTTGAAGGTGGGTTTTGTGTGTTTGGAAGCAACTAGAATCAAGGAATTATATCAATAAATTCTACATTTTAATTTTCCTTCTATGATACTTTGTCAATTTGTGAATATTGAACTACAGGTGTTTTTGCCTTTAATTTTTAGCTTTTTCTAGGCATTATTGTTTGCTGGTATGAGACGATTATTTTTGGTTGGTTTGTATTCCTAGGTTGAGCCTAAAGCAGATGAAGTTTATGCCTATATTACTTTAACTTTAGAAAAAGAGGAAAGACTGTATGATCACTAATAGTTTAAGTACTTGTATAGTGAGTATTGAAGGGTTTAGTTTATGATGATGGTTATATACATTTGTGGATTATGGGTTGTTTGTATTTGTATTGTTGTAGCAAGATTAGTTTAAAAGTTCTGATTCAGGGTGAATGGGCCGCCAAGGCCGAAATTCCGGTTCTATGTTAAGATATTAACTGCTTCGGATACTAGCACTCATTTAGGATTCTCGGTCCATTAAGCAATTCAAGCCGATGAATGATTGCCTCCCTTGGAGGGATATATTAATTAATATTATTAATTTGGTGGGGAAGGGGGTGTTCAATTTTGATTAAGATATGAGTTTAGTGTGATTATGACTAATTTATAGTTGTAATAGGATTTAATTAGTGATGCTTGAGTTAGTTTAGATTTCTTGCGTATAGTTAATAGTATTGATAAATAGTGGCCTATGTTTGAATTTGGGTGAAAATCTTCTATTTATTTTATTACCTCTTGTTCTGCTGAGTTTGGGGTACTGTTCTAGAAAATAGGAATTATATATGTCAATGAATAAGTGAAGTTTTAATCTATTTGATTGTTGTATTAGTAGGATTTTGGATAGGTTATATGGAAATGGCTTTTAAATCCTTTATGCAGTTGCTCTAATCTGTCAGTTGCTCTAAAGTTGCTATAGTAACTCTAAAGTTTCTGTATTTCTCACTCGCTCGCCCTGCTTTGTTTTCCAGGAGGAAAAGAGGAGAAGATCGAGAGGAAGATAATCTTAGAGAAGTTCTCAAGCACTCTGCTTAAATGCTTTTGGAGCTCCAAACCTCATAATAAGTATCTCGAACTCTATGAGTGACTTCTTGCTTTTATGGATTTTTGTAGTTTTTTTTTTTTTTTTTTTTTTTTTTGGGTTGTGCTTATATGAATGTTTACTGTTTTTTTATAAGTATATATTCTCTTTTCCTTATTATGTCAAATTTGGTGATTAATTCAAATGGGTTTGGTGAATTAGTGAGTGAATTGAATGAATTAGAATGTTGATTATTGTCTTGTTGAGTTGTATCAGTTCCTAAATTTGTGGGTTGTTTAGCTCTAAGACACTGAAGTATGTTATAAGTTTTTCCTTTTTTCATTAAATTCGTTTTTTGCATTCCCCACTTTTCTAGTATTATAGATTTTGAATTTAATATGAAAAACTCTAAAAGTTTGCACATTTTCTAAAAATGTAGCAAGTCCAAACTTGTTCAACTATGTCGATTTATTTCCATCACATTTCTGTCAAACTTCCAGGATTCAACAACAAAAAGGTCTAGATAATTTCTTAATTGTAAGATTTTTATAAGAGTAAGCTAATAATTAAGTTGCTCAGTTTGGAAAATGATATTTGTATGGTGTCTGGATTACCCTGAATCATTTTATTTCAATACATGTTTTAATCAGTTTTGCAGACTGTTTGGGTCTAGGAGGGAATTGACAGTAGTCTTCATGTCGTCAGTTGCTATTGATGCGGTGAAGGACGTACTTGCAGCGAATTATATACCTGCAGCTCCTATACTTATCCTCGAAGGACCTTGGCAGCAGGTTACTGATTTCCGAATTATATTTGTGTTTTCTTATCTATCCTGAACAATGTTATCTAACATGAATGCAGTTTACTATTTATATTATTTGTTCAAAAGTGTCACAATTTTATAAGTTCTTAAGTGTTTCATTGTACCAATTTGCATGTTTATGATCGTAGTTTTTGAGGGGGTTGGGGGAGTAGGGTTAGCAAATTAGGTCATGCTGATCCTGAATATTGAGTTAAAAGGATAGCAAGACAGAATCTGACGTCTATTTCCATGTCTGAAATGAAGAAAGAAAAGCTTGAAATCTGTGTTTAGTTTTTTTTGTAGATTTCTGGGGAGTTACAGCTGCGAAGGGATTCAAGACTGTCGGTATTTATGGTGGTTTGAGGGCCCAAGGAGAGATTCCTGACCTAACTTACAAATTTTTGAACATTTAGGCTATAATATGAATGCTATAATAATTAACTCGGTTTCTTCCTTCATTGTTTCATCATGAAGATTGGTTGGGTGCTATTGTTTCTTCTTTTAAGGTTTTGTTCATTTCCTTTTTTTTTCGTTATATTTCTTGTACCTTGATTATGAACGATGCTTTAATTTCTATCTATGTAGAAATGGAGGGTAACAAATTATTTCAGAATTTTGGGGTGGTTTCGATTTAATTTGGTAAAAAAAATTGGGATTATATTCCCATGCATCATAAAGCTAGGGTTTTATTTATTTATATATTTGATTTAGATCATTCAGTATCTTATTGATTATTTTCTATATGAAGTCTGCTGGAATATCAGCTCCAACTATTGGAAGAGTCGAGAACACTCATTATTACCATCCTGGAATTGTTGCTCCTCAGTAAATTTTCAGTTTTTTTTATAAGCCCCAAATTACTATAATAATTTTGCCATGTTTTTAATAAATACGGGAAGATATAAAGCTTGCAAAATTAAACAAATTTTTCTTATGATTATAAGAAAAAGAGGGTTCTTAATTCATCTGGAACAGAGTAACAAACCTTCTTTTGATCTTATAATTTAAGTTTATATTGTAGATATTTAACCTCATGTCAAAATCACATTTTGACTATTTTTTTTTAAAAAAATAAATGATTTCTTCTTTGTCCATGAAGAGAGTACAGGGGAAATGGGGAGATTGAATGGGATCTGAAGTGAAAAGGTTAATGGCTAGCGAAAGAGCAGCATTAAGTGAGTTCTTCGATCTCCAATGCCTTCCATTTTTAGTATCCTTTTATTCTTTGGCAGGTATCTTTTTTGATCATTTATGTTTAGTCCATTTCTATGGTTTTTTTTTTTGGTGTTTATTTTGATGAATTTGAAATTTTAGATTTGGATTTTGTTTATTTATAGGTATTGTTGGAATTCTGTAGAGGGGAAAAAATGAGTTTAGTTGTGTAATTTAATCCAAAATGCTCATAGTTAAATCTGGTTCACTTTTGATTTCTTGATTATCCATGTTTATTTTGATTTGAGTTTCTCTATTTTGATGCGAGTATTAGTGAGCATTTGGGAAAACTATTACTCATACTTTATTGATCGGTAGCTAACATTAGCATTACCTTGAATTGAGAATTTGTACATGCTTATAATATGGCTGAAAATTGATATTTATGAGCTATAATAAGTGAATTTTAAGTGTTGTATGAATGTCATTAAATTTGTTAAGATAGCTTAAAATATTGGTATTTTTTAGTGTCGTAGATAACATGATTCTCTTGCGAAGCAATTTGGTAAAGTCTGGACTAAAAAATATGTTTGATTACATTGTAATTTATTTACTTTAATAGTATAGCCTCCATTGTGGATCGTTGAGTCCATTCTCGTGTATTGATGTATTTTTCTTTAGAGAGCAACTAAGTAGGAGATGAGTGGCATACGATTTCTTATAAACTATTTCATGGATGCATTTTTAGAATATACCTTACTATAAAATTATGATATTTAATTTAAAGTCTCACTAATTTTTATGGAGGAATAAGAAGCTGAATCAATCACTACAGAATTTAGTTTTTTCAGCATTATTGATATTTTTACTTATACTATTTTTGCTTTTGTTATATGTTGGGACTTCAGAAGAGGTGAAGAAGATAGTAGCTACCCAAGTTCAATGCAGGTGAAGGTTGGTCATGAAAAAGGTTGTGAGTCTACTTTACGAAGACTTGGGGGAAAGGAATTTGATATAGTTCATGAAGCAGCTCAAATAAAAGTAATACACATCATTCAATAGAGTATTAGAGAACTTAAACTACTTTAATTTGTCATATTATTCAACCTACAAACTAAACTTATTTAGAAATCACATGACCTGATGTTAAGCTATATTAGAATTCAAAACTGATCTAACCCAAATAAAAAATCATTTTGGCATATACTTGGTTTCATGATTACTACAGATTTACCCAGTAGGATTGGGAGGGATACCATTTGTCATAATGTCAGAGGTGAACTTTCTTCTCTTCTTGGTTTCTCCAATTCCTATATTTGTTTCTTAAAATTATTATAACAGAATACTAATAAATGGTGTTAATTTCATCACACTATTAGTACTTATATTCAATTGTTTTAGGGATATTGGGTTCTTAATGGTATAAGGGATTGCGTCTTTCTAGGTTAGTGAATTGTATTGTTCTACTTTGATGATTGATGAGTGAGATTATTTGTATGGAAAGGCACTACTACCACCAATGCTGGAAAGTCCAATTTTGCATTATTAGTGATGGGGGTAGGTGTGAGGGTGATGCTATTTGAGTGTGACCATGTTGTTAGTGTGTTTAGTTGATGATGCTTAATGAATTTGATTCACATTTAGGGTGCGTTTGGTTCGCTGGTTTCAGGAAAGGGAATGGGAATCATTCCCTTTCAACCTGTTTGTTTGCCACTTTTTCCCTCAATCATTCCCCCATTTCATTTTTCAAAATACCCCAAAACCCCTCTTCCCCATTCCCCACCCCCCCCCCCACTTTCCCATTCCATTCCCCACCCACCCTAACCCTAACCCTAACACTAACACCCATATACGTCGGTGGTGGTCGGACGGCGACTTTCGGCGAGCACCGGGGAGTGGTCGGGGAGGCTCGGCGAGCACCGGGGAGTGGTCGGCGATGTGGTGCTGTGGTGGAGGAGGGAGATCGAGCGTTGGGGAGGGGGGCTGGAGCATCGGGGAGGGAGTTCGAGGTGGTGCTGTGGTCGGTGGTGGTCAGCGACCGTCGGCGAGGGGGGCTGGAGGGTCAGCGAGGGGTCAGCGACCGTCGGCGAGGGGGGCGCGACTGTCGGCGAGGGAGTTCGAGCATCGGGGAGGGGGGCTGGAGCATCAGGGAGGGAGTTCGACGGTCGGCGATGGGGGCTGGATGGTCGGCGACGGTCGTCGACGGTCAGGGATGGGTCGGCGACGGTTGGCGGAGTTCTGTGAGGGTTCGGCGGCGGTCGGAGCTGCGCTGTGGTGGTGGTGCTGTGGTGGAGGGAATGATTCCCTGGTTTTTGTAACAAACAACCTTCCAAATTTTCCACTTTGCCATTCCATTCCATTTCATTCACGTTGTTCATTTCATTCCGATTCTCTTCTGTGAACCAAACGGCCCCTTAGCATATTTCCTCACCTACATGTACCCTTTTAAAGAATTTAGAAGAAAGAATGTTGGATATGAGTCATAGTCTTTTTATATTCAATGGAATATAGCTATTTTTTTTTTTAGCTTTGTCCTGTTTGCTATTCAATTGTTTTGTATCTGTAGTAGGGGTCTCTTATGGATATGATATTGAATGACGTTAGCTTTGTCTATTTTGCTTGACATATGAATGTGGAAGGTACATTTGTATTTGTATTTTGATTGAAATATGTTGCTATGTCTTATAAACCTATTGTATATATGCTGAATTTATTGTAATGTAGTGGGGTGTGGTTTTGCAGATGCATGCATAAAGTTTGCTTAGATTTTTTTAATTTTTTTTATGGGTTTAGTAAGCCATTGTTTGTTTATGCAGGTAAGCCATAGTAAGGCATAATAATGTTGTGTGTGCCTAATTAATGCCCATTTCAAGATGAACTAACAAAACTATTTCAAAACTTAGTTCAATCAGCCTGCTCGTAAAACTAGAAGAAGAAACTAGAAGAAGAATACTTAAGTTTTCTTGCAATTTAAGTGTCTAATATATTGTGTATGTGATCTTTGTGACCGTGTCTCATTCCTGCTCCCCTTCCAATGAAAGGATTAATAATCAATGTGTTATGTTTGCATTTTTCAGCTCATCAAAAGACGGTCGAGGTCTAGGCCGAGTATCTGCTGGTGGAAACAATTGATTGGTTTTGTTGGGTGTTAAACTTTTAATAATAAATTATGGGTACTGGATAATTTTTGCCACTTTATTTTTATTTTTTGTGAAGATAAGTAGGCAATCCATTTCAGTGTTTTAGCTTAAGATAGCTTTAAAATGTCCTTGAATAGTTTCTTGCATTTGATGTTACTCAAATGACAATTCTAAGAATTTAACATTAATCGTAATTAGTAGCTATGTCATTCCATTTGTATGAATGTGCATTTGCAATTTCATTATGTGCGAACACATTTTTCTATATAGGAACAGATGGATTGCCCAAATAGCATAAATATAACCAACCAGCAAACAAATTAATTAACCATACAAACCATGTAACTTCAATTTTTTTTATTTGTTCATTGTTTTGTTGGATGAATCTTAACGTTTGTATGCTAAGAACATTATGTAGAAGAGTATGATAATCAAGGGTCATTGTACTACCCTCGGCTTCTTATTGATGCTTAAGAGTTCTTACAAGTTATCTCGATATTTGTTCACTTTTTCTTGGGGCAATTATAAACTGATTGGTGTTTGATGAAAGCATGTAGTTGCAAAATTGTTAAAGCATGTAGTTGCAAAATTGTTACTTTTTCTCCATAACAAGTAGACTAAGGAGATGAAAGAGAGCCTGTTCTCATTGACTGAACTTAGCTGAGCTGAACTGAACTGAATTTTTTATAAGAGAAAGAAATTAGGAGCGGATCTGAACTGATTGAACTGAGCTGAATTGAACCGAGCTGAATTGAACTAAACTGAACTGAGCTAAACTGAACTGAACTTAATTTCAACGTATGAGAACAGACCCTTCGAGTGTCATTAAGGAGAAGATGGCGCTACATTTTAAAGTAGTCAAAATTACAAAAAGACAAGTGAAATAACGAGAAAGCTAAAGGAAGGGAAAAAAAAAGAGATAGCAAGATAGGGGGACTAGATTTTGACAACTATATTTGGACACACTTTTTTTGAATAATTAGTAAATATTATTTTAAACAGCGTGATTTCGTGACAATTGAGGCATCTAATTGATTAACACTTTTAGAATAAGAGTGCGTTCTATTCACTTGATTTTTACTTCTATGAAGTTATCTGATTTTATCTGAACTTATTAACCCTTATTAGAACTTATTTTAGTAATAAATTGAACTTGGGTAGCCCTGATAAAATCTTATCACAACTCATTTGAACTTATTTTTTCTAAATTTATCTTATCTAAACCTATTAACCCTTATATGAACTTATTCTTCCTGAAATGAGTGAAAATAAGGTCAATAGAACAAGGCCTAAAATTTTCAACATTATGATAAAAAATCATGTTAGATTCATGTCTAAATGTTTTTTTTTATTTTTTTTTATGTTAATACAATCATACTTATAGAAAACTTTAGGAAGATAAAGGGTAACAAATAGGTAAGGGGAGAAGGAGTGGAGGAGACTCGAGAGAGGAGAGAAAAAGAGAGGAAGAAATAGGAGGAGATGGAGAGAAAAAAAAGAGGGGGGGATGGGGAAGGAAGAGAGGGGTAGAGAGAAAAAAAGAGAGGGAACCAGGAATGAAAAGTGATGGAAGAGAGAGAGAAATGGGTTGGGAAATAAAAAGAGGCCAAGAGAAAGATAAAGAATAGATATATAGACCAAAAGACAATGTCAAAAGAGAGAGAAAGATAGAGGGGGGTTGAGAGATGAAGGTGCTTAAGAGAGAGAAGGCAAGGTCATGAGAAGGGGAGATGGGCTAAAAGAGAAACGTGCTATGAAAGAGAGAAAAGGTAAAATAAAATAAAAGAGAAAAGGCAGGACATGAGCTAAGAGTAAATTAAAGAACATGTTAGGGGATAGACAGAGAAGGGTTGGGGGAGAAGAGCCATGAGATGGGAGAGAGGAGCCAAGAGATTGGAAAAGAGGATTTAGGAGAAAGAGAGAATAAGAAAGAGGAGTTGGGAAAAAGAGAGTGAGATAACGAGGGCCAAGAGAGATAGAGGAGGTCGATAGACCGAATAAAGTTAGAGTGCTAATTAGAGATAAGGGGATATGAGTAAGGGAGAGAGAGAGAGACAGAGAGAGGCCAGAAGAAAGAGGGAGATAAAGAAAAGCTAAGATAGAGGGCTCAGGAGAGAGAGAAAGAAAGATTGATATGGGAGGAGGGGAAGGAGGCAAGAAAGTACAACCTATAGTTTTAAAAGCCTATTTTTTTTTTTAAATGGAATAAGGACAAGAAGAATTATGATAGAAGAAAGATAGGGAGAAAGAGTTTGGGGCATTAAAGGAAGGGAGAAATGTGAGCAAGTGAACCTTTAATTTCAAACTCATTAAAAAAAAAAGAACGGAGATATAAAGTCAGAAAGGAGATAAATGTGTGTGTGTGTGTGTGAGAGAGAGAGAGAGAGAGAGAGAGAGAGAGAGAGAGAGAGAGAGAGAGAGAGAGAGAGAGAGAGAGAGAGAGAGAGAGAGGGAGGTTATTAATTAGTACTATTAAAAGGAATAAAGTAGTTATATGAGAAAGAAAACGCATTATCATGCATTTCATGTTTATACATACACAATAGTACTCTTAAATACTTATTTAATCAATTAACCAAATTAGAATTCAACTTACTCTATTATATAAAGTCCTTATTGCTATTTCTAAAAACACAAGAACATCCAATTTATGGTAATGAGAAAACAAATTTGAAGATAAAAATTAATTACGCGAATAAAAATTAGAATTATTATAAACTTATTAATTAAATTTATATAAACTTATATCAAGAATTAGTGATTGTTTTAAACTCTCAAAATCCGATGAATCGAGCCGCATCCGATCCAAAATTTATGAATATTCGATCAAAAAAATATTGGATATTCAAGATCACACACGATTAACATTAACAATACAACAAATTATTTTTACAAAACATTAAATCAAGTCCCCTAATCAGCATGTTAATAACACCCCAAACTATAAAACACGATCTCAGTTACAAAGCTTACATATTTTAGTGTCAGGGGACGCACGCATACGTGCGTGCTCCAACGACTAGCGTATTAAATTATTAGATCTACATTTTGTTGTCTTGCTGTGCTTATTATGAACCAATGTAATGTAATATCTATGACCCGAGTATTTTGCCTAGGCCTAGATTCTTCTATGAAATTTGGGGAAGGAAACACCAAACGGTGTAGCTAATTATAAATCTATAAATAACTCATTGTCACATCATGTAGCCAATATAGTATTTTATTGCATTACTTCTAATATCTCTATAATCTAATATGTCTATATATGTGTCTTTGGTTGAATCCTCTTATCTTTTTCCTAATAGAAGTGAGCAGGAAAAAATTCTGTTTTAAACTTTTTTATTAATTTCATATACTCCCTCTGTCCCAAATTACTCGCAACTATTTAACTTTTTGCAATATTCACACATCTCATTTTGACCATCTTTTCTAGCTATTATATGAAAGTCAATATAATTATGTAAGATGCTGTTGGGTTTATTTTAATGTATATTTTCTTAATATAATCTTTTTATAACTTATTAAAATATATAATAAAAGATATCAACAGTCAAACATTTGCATCGACAAACGTGTCCAGTCAAAATGTTGCAAGTAAAATGAGACAGAGGGAGTAACAATTAGGCTAATGCTTTTGCTTGTATTTGATTTTTTGTTGCTACACATGAAAGGTAATATGTCTAAATTTTCAATACAGCGAAGTCAACTTTCAGAATATGAACGACTTTGATTTGAGAAATTGGAAAAGAATGTAGAACGGATGAAGACTAAAGGTGGTGCAGGAGCTGAACTCTTTTCTAACAAGATTTTGCAAGAAAAAACTCGTTGTCTAGATGTTCAAAATGGAAAGTTCAATGAACTAGTGGAAGACAAGGATGAAGAGTCAACGTCTGAATATGATGGGCTTGCTGAAGAAGATCAAACCCCTAGTGACATGGGAACTGAAAATATCAGTTGCCAAAAAAGTAAGGTAAAACCTTAAGAAAAATTCTGACTTAATACTGCACATATGGTTTTTTTCCCTTAATTTAATATTTATGCCTTTCAATGTGTACTCCACATATATATATATATATATATATATATATATATATTATATGTATGTATATATATATATATATATATATATGTATAGCTCAGGCATAAACGATGGGTGAATTTTCGAGGAAAAATAATCCTACACGAAAGCATCACCAAGCCCTACAAAATTGTGTTCAGAAGGATCAAGAACAATATAACCAGAAGAAATAACCCACATTGAATAATCCTGAGAAAGAGCAACAAGGTTTTATATCAGAAAAAAGGCAGAAAAAGAGGTCATTCTGTTCTCCGGGGTCCACGTCAGTGTATCTTGAAAACCGAAAAAAGCAATTAGAAAACAATAATGACATGGTTGCAGCAAATAAAACTCATACAACCATATTAAGAGATGAAAATTGCAATGATTTGGAGCAAGTCAATGATGACTTTAACTATGTTGATTATCAGTGGCGGATTCAGGATTTTCAATTCGAGGGGACAAAATGCTTAACTTACAAATAGCTTAACAAAAAATAAAAACAAAAAAAAAACTCAAACACACAAATTAGTTAATACTTAATATTAAAATTTCAAAATAAAAAACATACTTAGTCATACAATTCAAATGATGAAAAAAATTACATAAACATTACATTAAAATTACACTTTCATCCTTCGAGTCTTCATATTTTGGAAGCGATCAACAATTTTTTCATCGAAAACTCTTAGGAAGACATCCTTCTCAATAAAAGTGACCAAACAATCATTCATAAGTTGATCACCCATGCTATTTCGCAACTTATTTTTGACACATGTCATTGCATCTTTAAGAGTTAAAGCGGTAGTATTACCAACATGAACAATGCCTAAAAATCGCTCCATTACCTTTCCACTATCTCTATTAACAAAGCGCAAAACAAGAGCTAGTTGTTCTTTTTGGGACACATCACTTGACTCATCGGCTAATATGGCAAAGTAATCATCACCAACTTCTTCTATTATGCACCTAGTTGTTTCTTTGGCACAACAATTAATAATGTCCTTTTGAATAGAAGGGGAAATCATTTGACAATTTTTAGGTGCTTTTTCAAGAGTATGTTGTCTTACTTCCTCAACCTTTTCTCCTAACCATTTCAAAAGCTCAAGGAAATTACCCCTATTATATGACTCCCCGCTTTCATCATGTCCACGAAATGCCAAACCTTGCCCCAAAAGAAACCTTAAACAAGTTAAAGATGCATTCAAGCGGATAAAATATTCACTTTTAATCACCTCACTTGCATTGTCAAACACATTCAAGATTGATTTTTTTTTTTCCATCTCTTAAATTCACATATTTCTCATAAGCAAGATTATGAGCACTGTTAATTCCATCAACATGCTTCTCAAATCTTTCCGGTTTATTCCATGCCCTAAACCCTCCATCAACAAATGCATCACCCCCCGAATAACTATCAACTTCATTCTTGAACAAGTAACATACAAAACAAAATGCAACATCTTTTTCAATACTATACTCAAGCCAATCCCATTTCTTGAACCAATGAACACTAAAGCGACGTAAACCAGACACTTGTCTTTGAGGAAAGTCATGAGTTTTTGGTTGGCAAGGTTTTTTAAGAATATAACCCCCCCTAACTGCATTTCGTTCATTTGCGGGGTAATCCATTATGTTTATTCTTTTTCCCGGATCATGAGGAAGAAGTTCAACATCGTATACCAAATTTTCCTCCAATGGTACATTACAAGTACTTGAACCACCCATTTCCATATCATCTTCTTGACTTTGAGGGGGCTTAATGAAGGGGAGTTATTTGACTCATTTTCATGGAGTTTCTTTCTTTTAGACAAGAATTGTCGAAGATCGGGTTGTTTTCTAGTAGCCTTGGATTTGTTTGAATTAGGTGAATCATTTGACATTTCCTAATTACATTAAAAAATATATATCAATTATTCAATTTCGGAATTTCCACAATTCACATCATTGCATAAATGCATACTATAAAACCTAACATTAAAATTGCAATTAAAATTAAAATTCAACAAATATTGCAATTAAAATTAAAATAATTCAACAAAAGTCTGGAAATTAGGGTTAACAATTGGTGAATTGGGGATTTCAAATTAACAAATTGGGAATTTCGAAATTCGAATTAGGGTTAGCAACTTAGCAAGACATACCATAAGTTTAGCAGCGACTCAGCGAGTGGTGAGGAACCCAGGGGCCAAGGCGGACAGCCGGACAGGCGGTGGTCGGTGGAGCAGCGAGCCAGTGACGCCTGACGCACTCACGCACGCACCTGCAGCGAAGACTGAAGATGGAGCACAGCCCGACAGCCGCACAGGAGCAGCGACGCACCACACACGCACGAAGCCTCGACGGTCACCGGTTGGTGGAATGGTGGAGCAGCGACGCAGTGGACTAGTGGAGTAGTGGTAATGGCGAATTGGAGTGAAGATTGAAATGGAGCAGCTGTGCGATTTGTTTTGCTTTTTTTTTTTTTTTTTTAATTTTTTTTTTAAAATTGGAGGGACAGCTGTCCCCCCATGTCACTTAATTGGGTCCGCCCCTGTTGATTATCAATTGGAAATGGAGGTACAAGCTGAATATGGAAAGGAGGGTAAGTCAATTAATATTTTGAAGTTACTCTTTTTTTGAATTAGTAATGAATATTTCAGCTTATTAGCATAGTAAATAGATACATTAACTAATACTTGAACAAATATAGAGGCTAAAAAGAAGAAGCATCTTCAACTACATCAAGTTCGTGATAATAACTCAAATGCTTCTTTAAAAATGCGATTACAAAGGAATGAAATGATTGCAACAGATCATGATAGAACAAATACAATACAAATAAGATGGGATGAAACTGAATATGATCTACAGATGAATGACAATGACAATGACAATGGTGTTGGTTCTGAATTGGAATTAGAGGAAGGAAGGTATGAGAAGGAAGGTATGTTGTTATTTACTCTCAAATTACTCTAGTTTTTAGTCATGTATAAATACTATAGCTTATTATCATATTAAATAAATTACTTGAACTAATACGTTAACTAAAATAGAGGCTAAAAAGAAGAAGCATTGAGGGCCAACAAAGATTACAAAGGTTCATGCTCGCACACGAGAGGAGCGCCAAGTTATTATTTTGAACTCATTTGGCCAACCAATTGGACCTACAAAGGAAATTGTTGATGAATTTAAGTTCTTCTTTGGCCGCTTAACTACACTGATTTTTGAAATCTGCCCACTCATAATAAGATATGGGAGTATGTTTTGGTATGTTATATTATTTACTTTGCATAAATTAGGTTCATATATCTTGAAATATTATGAGTTAGTCCATTGGTTTCAGACTTCCATTTCTTACTAATGTGTCCTGTTTTTATTATTATAGGAAAAGTACATGGTTCCTGAAGCGAGAAAAGATGTGTAATGGAGACTATTAATACAAGTTGGCGTAACTATAAATGCAGATTCAAGAAGAATCAATTTCTAAGTATGACACTAATGAGCTAAGATGGGTGCACAAACCAGACACTATTTAACTGATGAGCAAAAGTCGGGTTCAACTTTTTGGAAAAGGAGTGACGAAGACTGATATAAAAAAAGGCATAAAAATGCAAGTTGTATTATTCTAGAAGAGTTCTTAGTATTAGGCATATTATTGATGTATATCTTTTGTATATATTTAGGCTTGTATACCTGTCTTTCCTTAATTAGTTTTAACCTAATATGCATGTATATATTAAAGGGGCCGCAAGGTTTCACTCAAGAAATCACAGAAGAGAACAAACTCTCATTTCTTCATTCTTGATTCTAGCATGGTATCAGAGCAGGTTGCTCTATAAGACGATTTTTTTTTCTCTGATTTTTTTTTCTCTTCTACAATTTTTTTTAATTGTTAACAATGGGCGAGAATAAGGGTATTGATACTTCTTCTCCTTATTATTTACACCCCGCATCGAACACTGATCGTATTATCTCTCCGATCGTCTTGCGTGGTGCGAATTACAGCGAATGGGCTAAAATTAGAGAGTATAAAATTAGAGTTGGTACAACAACTTGCACCAAGAATTGGATCTGTCATTATGTCCCAACTTCAAGAAGCTAATCCAGAAGTAAATCTTGTCATTCCTGAATTTTTGAGTCCAATAATTCCTAGGGATGCATCTTCTACACCGCATAATGGTCAATCTTCTGGTGAGACTGTTGTTGGGAATGTGAATCAGGTATGCATTATCTTGTTGCCATTGTGTTAAATCTTAGACTTGATATATCAATCTTAGTCATCCAATTATCACCATTGTAGATTGCTTATATTACGGATGGATAGTATAATACTAAGTCTAATAGTTAACTGATTTATGAAATGATGAGTAAATTTCACTAAAATTAGGCTGTCACAAAAACCTGAAGTAGCTAGAACTCATACTAGTATGGTAACTAGACTTCCGTACTACTTACTCTTAAGAGGATTTCCCCTATCTTAGCTTTGTTTCCTACCCATCCCAAACAAGTCTAATAATTGTAGACACCTAAAAATGTCTCCCCAAAACAAAACCCAATGATGAACAACCTTTCACTGTCATTATTGGTTGAGTTCAGTATTTAATCCCGAGAATGATTTTAAAATCGTATTTAATAAAATTCAATTTTTGAATAGTCCATGGATCAGTCTTGATGTTTAATCAAAGCATAGTTTTTTTTTTTTTTTTTTTTTTTTTTTTTTTTTTTTTTTTTTTTTTTTTTAATTTCAGCGCAAACCTTTTTATTTTATTTTTGATTTCATCCCAAACCTTTTTATTTTATTTTATTATTTTGGCCCAAACCTTTTATTTTATTAATTATTTTGTTTTAGCCCAATTAATAATAACAAATCAGAAATGGCCCAAAATTGGCACTTAAAAATGGTGAAAGAAATTAGGGTTAAAAAATAAATTTAGACGGAAAAACAGACTACAGGCTCCCGCGTCACGACAGTTGTCCACCGTGTCATGGGAATTTACCCCGTCTGACGGTGCGATTCTCCGTGACACGTTGTCTCTGTTGTGACACGGGGCAATTCCAAGTCCTTTCCGCATAAACCCTTCACGCGTTTTATTCCCCGTACCCTAAATACTTCCCGCGTCACACAGTTGTCCACCGTGTCACGGGAATTTTCCCCGTCTGACGGTGTCAGGAACCATGTCACGGTGCCCTCTGTCGTGTCGCAGTGCAATTTTTAAGGGATTTTATCTTTTTAGGGTTCCGTGTGTTCTCTCAACACATTTTTTCTATAAATACCCTTTTCATTTCTAATGTACGGGGCATGAATTAATTCTCTCTTTTTCTCTCCTCTATGCTCTAGACTAAACACTAGCCTACCATTTTTCTTTCGAAATTCCCTCTTCAAGCACTCCAAGGAGTCCATAGTTTACTCGTGGTTCTGTCCTTAAGCCAAGGCGTGAAAGGTAGAACTGTTTGAGGGTTTGGTCCCAATTCAACTCTATTTAATTTAATTTAATTTAATTTTATTATTGTTTTATTATTATTTCCTTGAAGTTACTAACTCGTTTATTATTTTATAGTTGCAAGCAAACAGAATCAAAGTAAGAATTATGTTCCTTTTATTTCTATTATTTTTCTAATGATGTTATATTGTTGGATTTATTGTTATATTGCTTCCAATATTAATGATAATTCTATTATTATTTATTGATCACCGTATTGCATGTTTAAAGGGAATATGTAATTGAAAATCACGCCTAATAAGATAATTTGGACAACCGATTTAGGTTCCTTTTTAATCTTGTTATTAATTAAAGTGATCACAATATTTTAGAATTATGTGTTGCATTAATATTTGACCAATTTAGCCTAATAATAGTTTAGAGAAAATTGAATACTTTGTTTGTATGCCTTTGAGATCACATGAATGCTTTTCACTAAAAGAATCGAGTAGAGGCCAATACGGGCGAATGTGACTCCATGACTCACTTCGTACCATTATCCCCGATCCTCCTTTCGTGGTTCAGAACCATATGGAGTTAGTAATCTCATGGATTATGATTAGGGTGTAACCTTCACGGGTCAATCAATGTTGCCTTCATTGTCCCTTGTTCGTGGTTGCCTTTAATGATCCATGAACGGTTTACAAGTTCCTAAAAACTTGTTGGCGGCTCCCTACTTTCTTTGTCCCTAACCGTATACGTCAATTCCTACTTCCTAAGAGTGCCAAGCATATTCACACATGCTTTAACGTAGGCGCACTTCAAACGACGCCTACAATAATATATTATAATAATAACAAAATATTTTGGTAAGATTAAAATTAAATAAAGTTTTATTGTGCTTGCTTAATCTATTGTTTATATTTTTTCTAAACTATTTGTTTTTCAGTTGTGTTACTTTCGTAAGAGGGGTTTTTCATGTTTAGTCGTCTACACTCGTTTACTTATGGGATATTTATGATGAACTTGTTGGTTCAGGGTGAGCAGCTGAATGGAGAAAAAGCATAATTATTTGCAAGCGTTTATATGGTACAATTTCATATTTCTCTCAAAAAATGGTACAAGTTCTTGTCGTCATTTGGTGGTTAATTGTTCAGTTAGAATGTTTTTTTTTTTCTTTTTTGGCAGGCTGACTGATTATTAACAAGGGATCACTCGTTCGTGAAATTTTTTGAAATATTGTGTTGGTTATGTTGAAAGTTGCATTCCTCAAAAACGCATAAGAGTATGAGATGACAATTAAAGTAGTTGTAGTTAGTTTTGTTT